GCTCTGCCCTTGTTGTCTGCAAATTCCTTCCTTCTGGTTTTCTAAGTGGTTAGTTGGAGGTTAGAGTCTCATGGACTTTCCTACCTGGGCTGGCTTTGCACTGCGATCCTCAGATCTCAGCCTCCTGAGTAGCTAGGATGCCAGGCGTGAGCCCCCAGCACCCAGATTGCAAGTTATCTTTTCTTTGGGGTGGGGGTGTGAGTGTGGGTGATTCTTTTATGAGGTTTGAACTCGGGGCCTTTCATTTGCTAGGTACTCTACCACTGGAGCCACACCTCCAGCCTACTTTTGCTCTGGCGAAATTAGAAGTAGGGTCTCCCTTTGTGCTGTGGTGGCCTGACCCTGATCTCCTCCTTAGGTGAGAACCACTGCTCTCTGCCCTTGATTGTCCCTTCCCAGTGGCTGGATGGCAGGTGGGCACCACTGTACTCAGCCATGAGTTAAGATGGCTTTCTTTTTTCCCTTCTTTTTCTGTATATGTGGTGCTGAGGAATTGAACCTAGGGCTTCATCCGTGCTAGGCAAGCACTCTACCACTAGACCACATTCCCAGCCCTCTCTTTATCTTTATTGCCAGTCCTGGAGTTTGAACTCAGGGCCTGAGAGGTATCTCTGAGCTTTTTTGTTGTTGTTGTTTAAAGCTAGCACTCTACCACTTGAGCCACGGCACCATTTGCAGCTTTTTGGGTGTTTCATGGGAGATAAGTGTCTCAGAGACTTTTCTGCCCAGGCTGGCTTCAAACTGTGATCCTCAGATCTCAGCCTCCTGAGTCGCTGGGATGACTGGCCGTGAGCCACGGCTCCTACCCAGAATTCTTTTGGTTTGATGACCTGTTTTGGTGACCCTCTCCCAACTCTTAGCTGGGAGCAGCTGTCTCTGTAGTATGAAGGCTCACCTGATCTTTGGTTTGCCTGTCTTTTTTTTGGGGGGGGGAGGAGATCCGGGGAGTATCTAGATCTGTGGACAGTGAAGGGAAGGAAGATCGCAGGGAGACATCTCTGCTCCTGAACTCTCTGAACTCTTCCCAGGAGCCAGGCCGAGTGGTGCTGGTTTTATGACATGGTGTCTAGCCATGGCTGCCACCTGTAGTGTTCTAACACCCGGGGCAGGAGGCGCTTGGGCCGCCCAGTATCACAGCCTGGGATATGGGGATCAGCCAGCCCCACCCCTAGAAGGGATCCCCGGGTCCCTGCACATGGAGGCCAAGAAGCTGGGCAAGGCCTCCGGAGACCTAGAGGAGTGCATCCTCTGCGAGGATCTTCACAAAGGCAAAAGAATGGGCAGCTAGATGACCTGGGTTTGATGCCAACTCTGACTCAGCCTAGAGCGGAGGCAATAATTACCCCTCCAGCCTCAGTTTCCCCAGGGATGGACTGGATCAGATACCACCCACCTCAGAGAACACCGAAGAGGCCAAGGAGCCCCTGCCCGTGCTCTGGCCCTCTGCTGCCCACGTGTTCCTGGTCTGTTCTCTCTGGATTGCTTCTTCTCCTCAGGAAGGCGGACTCTGCGCTGCGCAGGGTGGGACCCTGAGTTTGTGTGGGGAGCTGCCCCATCCTGGCCACCTGCACCCCTGAGTTACTGACTCAGGATGCACAGGAGCTGAGGGGTGGTGGGATCCAGGGCTGGCTCTCAATCCCAAGGCTGTGTCCTGGAGCACCCACCGCCTCACTCCACACGCAGGTGTAAGAAGTCTGCACTCAAACCGGGTGCTGTGGCTCACACCTGTAATCCTAGATGCTCAGGAGGCTGAGATCTAAGGATAGTGGTTCAATACCAGCTGAGACAGGATGAGATGATAATGATGATGATGATGATGATGATTGGCGGTTCTGGTGCATGAACTCTGGGCTTGCTTTTTACGTGACTAATTAGAGATAAAAGTCTCTGCTCACTGGGCTTGTGAGATTCTCATCTCCAATGGCCCACCAAAAAGCAAGAAGCGGATCTGTGATTCTAGTGGTAGAGCACCAGCCTTGAGCAAAAAAACTCAGGGACAGCACCCAGGCCCTTGAATTGAAGCTCCAAACGAATATACAAAAACAACCCAGCAAGCAAGGGTAAGAAAGAAAGAAAGAGAGAAAGGAAAGAAAGAAAGAATGAAAAAA